CTGTCTGTGAGATATCACTTACCCAACGGGGTAAGGATAAATCCTGACTTCAGCGTCAACAAATCCTTCCCCCGTTGTCCTTCCGTGCCGACGAGGGCGCGTAAAAGAAATATTAGCAATTATGAAAAGAAGAGAATTAAAGGAAGTTATGAAGCATAATCAAAGAAGGTATCCTTGCGGGTGTTGTGATTGAATGGAAGCTGAGCGGAAAGCTCGAGAGAGGAAGTCTTATGAGCAAATAAGATTGTTAGAGAGAGTTAAGAAGTTAGAGCAAGCGGTGGAGGAGATTTGGGGCAACTGTGAGTGCGTGAGAAAAAGAACGAAGGTTGAGGAGAAATACTCTGCTTCTACTTGCGGAGACTGCGGACATAGTTATGGGTTGTGTATCTGTGAACCCGAAGAATCCCGAGAACATGAATGTGGCCGAGAATGCCCGACTGCTCCTTGTGTTATTTGTGATGGAGGTTGAAGTTGTTAAGTATGAATAAGCTTATAAACTGACCTAAAACCTACCAGCAGCCCGGTATCTTTCATATCTACCTCACTGAAAGAAAGACCGGCAAGACTTTTAGCAAGATATTAGAAATCTTCCAAAGAATAATCAGTCACGGGGAATTTTTTGCCTGGGTGCGCCGCCACTGGCATGATAGCCTAGAATGCTCTAAGCCGCTCTTTTTGGATGTTTTATGAGAAATAGAGCGGGAAGACTTAATTAGTGGCTTCCAAGCTAAAGAGTGAGAAGTTAAAGAAAAAGGAGTGTTTTATCAAGGGGAGCTTTATATTTTCTTTTATGACCTATTCTCTTATAAAAAAGCCCGGGGTGGACGAGCCAAAACGGTGAGTGAGATTGTTTATGAGGAAGCTATTCCGATTGACCAAGAGTTTTTAGCGCGGGAGCAGTTTAATTTCCGAGATTTAGTGGATAGTTTAAAACGAAAGGACCAGCCCTTAAAAATAACCTTTCTAGCTAATCCGTATAGTTGAAGTAGTTGGTTTTTAGGGATTTTTGAAGAGGAAGGAAGTTTATGGGCAGCTAAAAGGGAAGCCGAGGAGTTATTAAGTAAGAAGGATAAAACGGGGGTAAAGGTATGGAGCAAGGATGGACAATGGTTTTTATATATTAATTTGGTGAAGCCAAGGGAGGATGTTCATAGTTTAGCTTTGGAAGAAAGAATCAATCCTAGTTTACGGAATTGGGATGAGTTTATGGTGGCTCGGCCGAAAAAGTATGCTATTATGTATGCCATTCAAGACTTTTATTTGTGCGAGGTAGGTGAAAGGAAGGTTTATAAGAAGTTTTGTTTTATGCATTTTAGCCGGAATGTTAAGGAGACTACTAAGGATTTGGTTAATTTTTGCTTTTCTTTGGAGGAGAAAGCCAAAAGTAAGTTAAAGAATTGTCGTTTGCGGGAAAAGGAGAAATTGTTGGGGAAGTGAGTTAACTTGCTTAAAGAGGAGATGTTGAGTTTTGCTGATTATCGGGCTCGGGATTGGTTTTTGGGGTTGGTTAAGTAAGGGATTATTAGATTAGTTGGGTTTAGAAGAACCTGGAGTGCCGTAAGGAGGTTGGATTTGGAGGGGTTGTTCCACTAGTTCATTTGTTTCTTCATTTCCTTTTTGAAATTTATTTAAAAGCTTAGCTTGGGAATTATTGAGGGATTGACCATTCTTCTCTTCATCATCAGTCGCGCTGATTATTACTACTGAGTGATTTTGATTCATCAAGTGAGTATTATTAGTTTTTCTGTTCCAAAAAAATGCTTTTAATTTTGTTGTTAATCAACTTTCTGAAGAAGCAAATTTTTCGGCTCGAAGTGCCTCTTCGTGGGTTTCTTTTGCTTGGTTCTTTGATTGGTTGGCTTTTTTAGATTCTGCTTCGCTAATTTTTTGCCGTAATTCTTCAATTGTAGAATCGTCTTTTTGGTAAGTAACTACTATGTCTTCTAACTTCCTTATATCTTCAATTATCTTTCACCATTTACTTTCTTTTTTATCTTTGGCTAAATCTTGAGCTAATTTTGTTCGTTTATCTTTATCTGTTAACTCTTCTAAATCGATTTCTCCATATCCTTCTTTGCCTTCTTCATCTTCATCGTATATTTCCAAAAGTTCTTCTGTTCTTTCCTTTAAATCTTTCACTATTTGATTGGTTCTTCCTAATTCTGAATAGGAATCAATTTTTCTGACTATACCTAATAACTCATTAAAATTATCAGAAAATGTGTCGGCATCAGTTAAAAATTCGTTTCATTTTTTTTCTTTATTATCGTAAAAGTTCTCTTTCATTTTAGTAGTAACGACATCAACTACCGGAGCCACTGCAGCCATGCTACCTCCTAATTCAGAGTAACCTTTTAAAGCCAAAACTCCACCCACCCCAGCAGTTATTCGACTACCTCACTGAGGAATATTTAAATATCAATAATTTCCAATTTGTTCGGGACTACGAAGTTTATCTAAATCATTTAAAGTTGATTTAAGAAATAGTTTTTCAAATAAATTGTTATCAGTTTTTTTACTTCATTTCTTTAAGAATTGCTTAATGTTGCTCCGAATAATAAATAATCTTTCTGTAGGAATAAGTGAAGATATAATCCTTCTTTCTTCTCCTTGTTTTTCTTTTTCCTCCATTTGTTTTTTTAATTCTTGAATGCCTTCTTCTAGCGCCTCCCTATCTATCGCCTTTTGTTCCTCAGACATAGTAAAATTTAAATCTTTCATGACAGATTCAAAATCATTGGTTAAATTATTAAACTTATCTTTAATTGAATTAGCAAGCAGATATTTTTTATATCCTTGAAGTTGTGATACATCTTTTATAAAATCTTTTATCCTTCCTAAAATATCGACAAATCTAACGAAATTTTTATAATATAATTCGTTTCGAAAATTTTTTTCATTTTCTTGTTTTCTTCTGTTTAAGGTTTTTATTACTCCATTAGCTATCTGAACACGATCCATCAATGCATTGCATATTTTTTTATTGTATTCGGCATTTTCATATATTTGGATAGTTTCATTGATTATTGATGTTGCAGCAGCGATAAGCGTAGCATAAGGCTTGATAGTTTCTTTGTCTTCACCAGCAACACCAGCAATACCTAGTAAAGATTTTGTAGTCTCTAAACTGTTTATACCTATTTCATTTACCATTATTTATTTTCTCCTTTTCGAGTAACAAAATAAACCACTATGCCAATTAATCCTATCACCCCAATTCCTCCTAAAATCCATGGAAGGTAATTGGTTTGCTTATCATTCTCGACTGAATTTGATTTGATTTGATTTGATTTGATTTGATTTGATTTGATTTGATTTGATTTGATTTGATTTGATTTGATTTGAT